AAAATAAAAGATAAAAAGCAAAATAATAAAAAACAGAAAACTTTGCTATGGTTTAGTGGCGCCATAACTGTAAGGTGAGGAAAAAAAATATTATAATGAAATGTATAGATAGATATACAAAAAAATCCACAGTCATATATTAGTTTTTTATAGATAATAATTTAACGACAGTGAATTGAACGCTCATATTAATTAAGAAAGTCCTAAGTGTGTTACTTTAGATATTAAAAAAAAAATTGTTCCGGTACGATCATTTTTTCGACCAATTTCCCTGCCACATACACTCATCCATACACGGACGTCCAGAAAAAATTATGTTAAATGTTATTATTTACTATGTTAAACAAAAAAATTGTTATTGAAATATATCTTGTGTGCCTGACAAATTATTCGACTTGATATAAGTGTACTCATATTAACCTATAAGTGCGATATAAATAACAAAAAAACAATTTTAGTTTCGAGAAAACTGCTTTTTTTGAAATGTCGAGAGTAGAGCACAACCTCAACGCTTCGCTTATGAGGCGTGCAATATCGCCTAAAAATGAAGCACCCTAGTGGGTACTGAAGGGTTAACAATTAGCTAAAAAAAAGGGGTTTAGTTTTTTGCAAATATCTCAAAAACTAATGAAGATTTAAAAAATTTTAAAAAAGATTCAAAAAGAAAAGGAAGTTTTCTTAAAAAAAGTCCCAACTCCTGGAACTGTAGGACCAATATTTATAATTTTCCCAGAGGGATGAAAATATGGCCGAAAACGGGTGCTCTGGCTTGCGTAAGCCACGTCTACTGTGGACACTTTGTTAATAAAAATTATTTTAACATATTAAATATAAAATTTAAGAAATGAAAAAATTCAGAGTCTTACTGGATAGATAAATGAACAATAATCCGCCTGAAAAAAATTTTTATCACAATTTTTTAATTAGTTATGAAATAGTTAATTAATAATTTTTTTCTACTTAAACATTAACATTGCAAGTGTGATAATTGTTAATCCTCTGAGCCTAATGGGCGTTTCCCCCACTCTTGGTGAAATGCCCCCTTCTACATTTACTTTACACGCTCCCCACTTCAGTGCCACGCGGCTCACTTAGTCCAAGTTAATAAATTAAAAAAGTTAAGCTATAAAAACCCAATTTTCACCAACTGCGTGAAAATTGGTTGATTCATTCAAAAGTTATTGCGGTTTGAAAATTCAAAAAATATTGTTCTATAAAACTGCTATCAGATTTTTGAGCTTGAAGAGCTCAAAAGTTTTATATTTTATATACTTGATCGATAAAACAGTAGGTCTATAATCTAAAAGGTTAAGCTGAATGAGATTCACTGATCCTATAGTAAATATAGGAGGGGTAGAATGGTCTCGTTCACGTTTACTAAGTTCTTAGCTGGACTGAGCTTAGATTAGTATACCTTGCATTGCTTTCTTATAGATATTCTTTAGCTAGAATGTAGTCACTTTTAGTTTTTGGCACAAGATATGCTAAGATCTCCCAAGAGCTAAGTAAATTTGAACGAGCCCAATGATGCGAACGGTCATTCGAAAACATTTGATCTTGAGCAAGTCTTGCACAAGTATATTCAGCATCCTTCTGGTGTCAGTCTTTTTCAAGAATTGATATAGTTAGTTTATCGATAAGCATCTTCAGATTTTCTCAATTTTCTTATACAATTCTTGAGCTATAATCTGGCTCAAAGTTCTCGTACAAGACTTGTCAATTGAATTTGCTATACAAGTATCTGGAGCAAGACCTACAGGCAAAAAAAAAAAACTAACAACTATCAAAATTGAGACCATACTTGCTCAAGCCTTGAAAAAGATTGCTATATGGGATAGAGCAACGGTTCAGAACTAAATGATAAACATCAGACAGCATTGAAGAAACGGTAATGCACAAAACCGGTCCAGGTATAAATTATAACAAAAGAAATGCGTAGCCTTGACAGATGGCAGGTGTAGATTTCCTGACTAAAGATATCTACATGTAATAATCTGTTGTGTGTTTGAATATAAATGTGACAATAAAATCCAGAAAATGTACCCTTATCCGTGTAATAATTTGAATAAATTAAGAAAAAACGAATAAACAAATGGAATTAAAAATATAAAAAAATTATTTTTGCGTAGTCTAATCAATAATCACTCGATAAAATTGTATTGAATCATAAAAGCCGTAACTTCAATAGTTTAAAAGTTATAAAAATTTATAAGTTGATAAAATAGTTGACCGCTTCAACTTTGATGGGTTAAAGTATTTTAAGGGGGAACACCACTGTCACGATCGAAAAAAAGAGGTGATTTTCTGAAATTTTTTTGACAGGGAAAATAAAGGAATTATATCTATGGAGATCGGATTTTTTTTTATTTTATTGAGGGTACATTAAAGATTATTACCTTAAATTTTTATTAAAAAATATTTAATTATTACAAAGTTATTAACAATCTCGTAGAGCACTAGAAAAAATTTCCCCCTCCATGGTCGGTTCGATAACTCGAAGACGGATCATCTGAAAATAAAAATCCAAATTTCTTTTTAATCAGTAAGGATGCAGTTATCGTCGCACGTACGGAATTAAAAAAATTTTTCCAGATTTGTTTTCAATTTTTGTTACAGATATATTGTTTCTGGGATATTATTTCCGGGGATCAAAAAACATGGAACCTGGAACATAGATATTCAATCTCTCTTTATGAGTTTTCAAGTTCTTGATGAGATCAAACATTAATGTATATCAAGATTATTATGATTTATCCAACTTGAGACGTATTTACGCTTTGAAAAATTTGGTGGCCCTGAAAAGGGCCGTTTGATTTAATTTAGTAAGGAAAGGAAATTTATTTGGAGCTAGTATACTTAGTGACTGCTTTGGTTCCTTCACTGACAGCGTGCTTGGCTAATTCACCGGGTAGCAAAAGACGGACGGCTGTTTGAATTTCCCGGGAGGTGATGGTGGAACGTTTGTTATAATGAGCAAGTCTTGAAGCTTCAGCAGCAATACGTTCAAAAATGTCGTTGACGAAGCTATTCATGATGCTCATGGCCTTGGATGAGACACCAGTGTCAGGGTGGACCTGCTTCAACACCTTGTAGATGTAAATGGCGTAACTTTCCTTTCTCTTCTTCTTGCGGTTCTTTTTGTCAGACTTGGTAATGTTTTTCTGGGCTTTGCCAGACTTCTTCACGGCTTTACCACTTGCTTTAGGCGGCATGATAAGTACGGAGATTAATAGGATAGCACTTGCAGAAGCACAGCAGAACAAATGATGGAGAGCCACATTTTGCTTTCGGTTTTAAAAGAGAAAAATAGGGAGTTAAGCATCAGTGACGGAAGATCACCGAGAGTGGGGGAGAATATCTGTAAGCTGGTTTGTCCGCTTGTATCAATGTAACATAATAACAATAATAATTCTTGTTAAAACTAGTGGGCCAATCCCAGGTATGCTTTTTTCCCCTCTCTTGCAATGTTTAGCTGTTGCCTCTGCTGCATATTCCCCACACGAACCTTATAAAAGTTAAGGTATTGGATTGAAACCACACAGTCCGGGGTTATCCACTCAAGTTGAGTGTTCAGTGTTTAATTCTATAATCTTTTTATCATGTCTGGTCGTGGTAAAGGAGGTAAAGTAAAGGGAAAGTCAAAGACCCGTTCAAGCCGTGCAGGTCTACAATTTCCCGTGGGTCGTATCCATCGTATGTTGCGTAAAGGAAACTACGCAGAACGTGTCGGTGCTGGTGCTCCTGTTTACCTCGCTGCCGTCATGGAATACTTAGCTGCTGAAGTCCTCGAGTTAGCCGGTAACGCCGCTCGTGATAACAAGAAGACTAGGATCATCCCACGTCATCTTCAGTTGGCCATTCGTAACGACGAAGAGTTAAATAAACTCCTTTCAGGAGTTACCATCGCCCAGGGAGGTGTTCTGCCCAACATCCAAGCCGTTCTCTTACCTAAAAAAACCGAAAAAAGCAGCTCATAAATCAACAACTTTCTTCTAAAAAAAAAAAAAACGGCCCTTTTCAGGGCCACCAAATTTTTCATGACGTAAAAAATCATTTAATTTGATAGATTTCTTCTAACCACCCTTATAATTCGTTTGAAAAAATTATCGGCTTTTATCTATAAAGTTTGTTATTTTACTTATTGACTAGCATTGTTTTATTTTCATCTGATCATCAATATTTTCATTAATGCGGACTGACATTTAAAAAAAAATATCTTGTGAAATAAATTTCATATGAATAGTATATTACATACCTAGGCCAGTAAAATAAGAAAAGTCTCAGATCACATGTAATTGTTGGCCGAGGCGAAGCCGAGGTTGACAAACATGTGATCTGAGGCTTTACTTTTTACTGGCCAAGGTGTGTATACTATTTTTCTGCTCGACGTAGCCGGAATGTGGCAACTTTGTTTAGCGCAGCGGCCAGAAAGTTGCCACTTTCCGGCCGGAGGGCAGAAAACAATTTTGTAGCGACGCATATTTTATCTGAAAGTACAGTTTCTGACGAACAGAAACATACTTCAGATTTATTTCGAAAACAATACTTTTATCGTTTTACTCAATTTTTTAACGATCATTAATTGTTAGACGTATGATTGAAGTATTATTTTTTGTCAAATTTTTTCAATGAACTAACTTAATGACCATCTATAAGTTTTTAAATAAACACTAAGATTTAGAGATGTGATTTGTTCCAATAACATATACGAGTAGTTACAGTGAACGCGTCAACATAGCTTTATTATTATCTCCGTGGTAGCAATTTTATTCACGTTTGGTTCAAGAATCATGATGAATCATTTGTATACAGATTTATATACAATTACGGGTATTTTTTTAATTTCAATGCCAGAAATTTAAGACAGGTCGCAGTCAAGTTTGTATGATTTTAAAGTGTATTGATTGATATTATTGATGATAATAAGCAAACTAATTTTGAGATTGTGTTCCTTTTAAATACTTAAATATCACAATATTTCTAACTGCAAAGCTTCGAAAATTTCAGATAATTAAAATGTTATTGCCGATAGATCTAAAAATGATTTACGACGAGAAATTTAAAGACATTCGCATATTTCTAGCGATTAAATAATTATGGTAACGTTTAAATTCGATTTCAGAAATCCTTAGATGATAGAAAGATGACAGATAAGTATATGACAGACAAGAATAGGAAAATTGTTTTCAATGAAGGATGGTTTACGAAAAGGCAATATTAGGTATTTTATTTTTTAATTGAAAACGTGCTTTTGGTTATACAACTAAATGATTTAAAATTTTAAACAATGAAGTACTCTGAATGATTTTCTTAGTATGAAAAATTTGTGGCCCTGAAAAGGACCGTTTTGTTTTAAAAATAGATCAGATTTTATGATTTAGGCACGTTCTCCACGAATACGACGAGCCAACTGGATGTCCTTAGGCATGATGGTAACACGCTTAGCATGAATAGCGCAGAGGTTGGTATCTTCAAAAAGACCAACTAGGTAGGCTTCGCTGGCTTCCTGAAGGGCCATTACAGCGGAGCTTTGGAATCGCAAATCAGTTTTGAAGTCCTGGGCAATTTCACGGACAAGACGTTGGAAGGGTAATTTTCGGATTAACAACTCTGTACTCTTCTGGTAACGACGGATTTCACGAAGAGCAACGGTTCCTGGACGGTATCGATGGGGCTTTTTGACACCTCCAGTAGCTGGTGCACTCTTACGAGCAGCCTTAGTTGCAAGTTGCTTACGTGGAGCTTTGCCACCAGTAGATTTACGAGCAGTTTGCTTAGTTCTTGCCATGACGACTTTGAAAACTTGTCGGATCAAAAGGAAAACACGGAATAATAATCTGGGCCCGAAACTCGCCTTTTTGTCGGATTCTGAGGGATGTTCGTTCCCTCACTCTTTGATTCTTTCAATGGAGGGGGAAAGTGTTATGATCCTCAATTGTTTTCATTGATGAAGTGGGGATGAAGCTGTCTTGTCTCTGATTGGTTTGAGTCTAGTGGTGAGAGGAAAGGTTAGAGAATGCTTAAAAACACGCTCTGAGAAATTTTTACCGTCAAACAGTGTTCATTCATCTAACTGAACAGTTAATATACTTTCAGTGATTCATCATGACTGGTCGTGGAAAGGGAGGAAAAGGATTGGGTAAAGGAGGCGCCAAACGTCATCGTAAAGTTCTTCGTGATAACATCCAAGGTATTACCAAGCCAGCTATCCGTCGTCTGGCCCGTCGTGGTGGAGTCAAGCGTATCTCTGGATTGATCTACGAAGAGACTCGTGGCGTCCTCAAGGTCTTTCTTGAGAATGTTATCCGTGATGCCGTCACCTACACTGAGCACGCAAAACGTAAGACTGTTACCGCTATGGATGTCGTCTACGCTCTGAAACGTCAAGGTCGTACTCTCTACGGCTTTGGAGGTTAATTTTTCCGCTTTCTCATCAAACTAAACAAAACGGCCCTTTTCAGGGCCACCAAATTTTTTACACGTAAATACTTGTCAAGAAATCTACCTAGACAAAATATGACAATATAACAATTATAACTTGTGACAATATCACTCAATGGTTATGAAAGATATTTTCAATTATAATTTGCAACATACAGGTTTTATCAGCTGATATAAAACATTTTTCTACCTACAACCTTATTATGCAGAGTCAATCAAAATGAGCTCATTTATTTGTAATCTTTACATAAATCTTACCTATTAATATTAATGTTTTATTTTTTATGCTCACAGTATACTGCATTAGGGTGTGTTATTTTTAGGCAATATTTTTAACTTCCCGCTAAAAATCTCAGATTTTCAAAAATCAGGAAGTTATTGTTTTCACCCCGTTTTGCAAAAATCGAGTTTTCATCAGATCTCGACGTTTTAAGGTCATAGAAAGCTTCCCTGACTATCCCCGCGAGGTTGTCACTATGTCTGTATGTGTGTGTGTGTGTGTGTGTGTGTGTGTGTGTGTGTGTGTGTGTGTGTGTGTGTGTGTGTGTGTGTGTGTGTGTGTGTGTGTGTGATAATCCTCTTATTAATTTTGAACGGCTCGACTGATCGGATCGAGATAGGTTGCTATCCAAAAAGTATCATTGCTATTAGATTTGGTGAAAATTTGAATCGATTAAGTTAGCTAGATTGTGTGTGTGTGTGTGTGTGTGTGTGTGTGTGTGTGTGTGTGTGTGTGTGTGTGTGTGTGTGTGTGTGTGTGTGTGTGTGTGTGTGTGTGTGTAAACCTCTTATAAATTTTGAACGGCTCGACTGATCGGATCGAGATAGGTTGCTATCCAAAAAGTATCATTGCTATTAGATTTGGTGAAAATTTGAATCGATTAAGTTAGCTAGATTTTAAGAAATCTCAGAAATAAAATTAAAAAAAAATGATATTTTGGAATAACTTCTAAACGACTACACCGATCAAGCCAAAAACTCACTCGCTCTTAAACTTGAAAAATAACGTTGGTTGCCGCCAGTCCCGTCAAAATCGGTTGATTCGTTCATGAGATATCGAAAACGAAAAATTTCGAAAAAACGTGTTTTTTATATAGCTTTTAAATAACTCCGAAATTTTATATCAGATCAATTTACATCATTGCAAATCTTTGATAGAGTTTAATAATTGACATCGATCGCTGCCAACCGCGTGAAAATCGGTTGATCCATTGAAAAGTTATAGTAGTTTGAAAATTCCAAAAATGGTGTTGTATCCAAGTCTCATCAGACTATTGAACTTGAAGAGATCAAAAGCACAGAATAGCTATATTTTTGAGCTTGGAGAGCTTAAAATAACATAAAAATTACGTTTTTATGCTCATTGAACTCAATAGTCTGATGAGATTTACATACAATACCATTTTATTTTTGAGATTTCTCAAAATCTAGCCAACCGAATCGATTCAAATTTTTATGAAACTTAATGGCAATGATACTCTTTGGATCGCAACCTATCTCGATCCGATTGGTCGAGCCGTTACACATACACACACACACACACACACACACACACACACACGCGCGCGCGCGGGGTAAAAACAATAACTTCCCGATTTTTGAAAATTTTCAATTTTCTTAGCGGGAAGTTAAAAATTAGGAAAGCGGTTGACCCTAAAGGCCATGCTTCCAACTTTCCACTAATACCATACTTAAGCGCTTAAAATTGCCCTTATTACATTTTTGAGCTCTCCGAGCTCATCAAAGTCTGATAGAAGTTAAATAAAATACTATTTTTTGAATTTTCAACCCGCAATAAATTTTGAATAAATAAACCGATTTTTCCGCGAATGACGGCATTCGACGCAGTTTTTGAAGCCTCATAAAGGATCTTTAAGTTCAAATTGATCGAACAAGGAATTTCGAAGTAATTCCGAAAAAAACACTTTTTTCGGTTTTCTTTCGACAACGATAACTCACGAACGAATCAACCGATTTCAACCGGGCTGGCGGTGATCAACGTGGTTTTTTGATGTTTAGAGCTGATGAGTTTTTGGAATCGATCAGTCAAGCCGTTTCAAAGTTATAAGTGGATCACATACATACATAAACACACACCTCGATAGTGCATGCAGGAAAGCCAGCAATAAGGTATCTAGCCTCTCAAGGATCATGGTCAACACGATGGGACCACAAACCAAAAAGAGAAGAGTTCTTCTGGAACCAGTCCATTCGGTACTGCTCTATAGAGCGGAGATATAGGTAGACAAACTAATGCAGAAGACCTACCGGCGGAAAATGGCAGCAGTGTAGCGGCAAGGCCCTCTCAGGGTTGCCTGCGCCTAATGCACGGTTTCCGAAGCGGCTGTATTGGACGCTAAAACCAGTGATGTAAACATGAAAGAGGCAAGAGCGAGGATAATGGCGAAAACGCAGCAAGAGTGCCAGGACCGATGGAAATCAGGGGAGACGTGCAGATGGACAGCGCGCCTGATTCCAAACATCAACGTCTAGGTCTTTCGGAAGCACGGGGACACGGACTTCTTCCTTACCTAGCTATTGAAAGGACACGGACAGTTCAACGCCTATCTTTTTAAGATGGAACTGCACCCCATGACAACGTGCAAATACTGCCCGGATCAAATAGACGACGCCGAACACACGTTCTTCGAGTGTGTACGGTGGAAGGACTACAAAAGCAGCACCGAAGAAATTATAGGCACCACACTCACCCCCGAGACCTTGATAGCCTGCATGCTCAGAAAAGAAGATATCTGATCGGCTGTCGCAATCTACGCGCAGCGCCTTCTAAAAGAAAAAAACACAGAAAGGGATCAGTAACGAGGAGTAGGCGTCGTGAGACGCAACATGGACTGGGTTGAAGTAATGCTAACGCGGTTCCGATCCAGTCATCTCCGTACCATCTACGGGGAAGGAGACAAGAGTTTTTTTAGTGGGTAAAAATCCCACAATACCGACCATCATCTTTCAATGATAGCGGTGGCTTTGGAAGATTTTTTTCGCTTCTTTATAAAATCAGTCTCACACACACACACTCACACACACACACTCACACACACACACACACACACACTATACTATGGGAAGTATCTATGGGAAAGATACTATGGGAAATATCAACTGGCCAGAAACTAACAAGAGACAACAGGAGCGCTAGCGCGGTTGGGTGGAAAGTTAAATCTCTCGACCCCACTGCTTTAGTAGTAGCCTTAGACTGCGATCCGATCATGGTAGAAACTGCTGAAGAGAAGACCAAGGACCTAATGAGAAGAGTCACCCAGGCTTGCGATGCTAGTATGTCTCGGAAACGTGGCATGAACTCAAGACCTTCGGTGCACTGGTGGAACGATCACATTAGCACTCTACGCTTAGAGTGTCTTAAAAAAAGAAGAAAGTCTCAGCGTGGCTATAGACGACCTAACTCCGCAGAGCTGTTGGCAGAGTATAAAAAGGCCCGTCGAGAACTGAACAGAGCCATCAAAGAAAGTAAAAGACGCTGCTGGAAGAAACTGGTCGCAGAAGTCGAGAAAGATCCATGGGGCAGACCCTACAAGGTGGTTATGACCCACCTGAAATGCCAGCCAATGCCATCACCTACGTGTCAACAGCTCCTAGAGAAGATTGTTACTGCGCTGTTTCCCCAACAGCCGGTATTCACCTACAAGTTGGAGCAATTCAACCCTGAAGACATCCTAACTATCACGTTGGATGAGTTGATAGAGGCAGGCAATCGAGTAGGGAATAATAAGGCACCGGGATTGGACGGAATCCCTAATATTGCCCTGAAATCAATCCTTAGGGCAGCACCGACATTATTCCTGGACGTCTACGATACATGCCTGAAGGAAGGGACTTTTCCCCAGAAGTGGAAACAGCAACGGCTAGTGTTACTTCCGAAGGGAAAAAAGTCGCCGGAAGAACCGTCATCTTACCGACCACTCTGCATGTTAGACACGGCCGGCAAGATATTCGAGCGCATAATTCATCAGAGAATAGAGGCTGTAGTCGACCCACTCCTGGCAGAGAACCAGTTTGGTTTCCGAAAAGGACGGTCAATTCTGGATGCAATCAAATTCGTTGTTGATACAGCCAAGGATGCAATCGCTGGAACGAGATGAAAGAGTGGAAAGAAGAAATACTGCTTGGTGGCTGCTTTGGACATCAAGAATGCCTTCAACTCCGCTAACTGGGACTGTGTTATGTGGGCTCTAGAGGAAAAAAACGTACCACGATACCTTCGCAGAATAGTAGCGAGCTACTTCACAAATAGGGTCCTGAAATATGACACGAAGAACGGTACGGAAATGTACGAAATCTCCGGAGGAGTGCCACAGGGATCAGTCTTAGGTCCTCTGCAGTGGGTAGAAGCCAAGCAAAATGACCAAGCAAAATACGCTCCCGTGGACAAAACTCCCCTTTAATGGGTTGGTCACACTAACTGACCTAGCAAGTCGAGGGTAGCGTTGTTCGCGTCCGTAGGTTCTGCTTTTACACCCTACACGTGCTCTCCGGGTAGTGCTAAATGAACAACACCAAACAACGATATGGAAATGTCAGAAGATATTCAAACATCGTTTACAGTACAGAGGATGGATACCTCAGTGCCGGCGACGGAAGGCGTGCAAACGGGCCTGAACTCGTCGTTATCAAGCGACCGTTACGACAGCCGGCCGGACCCCATGGCTCTGCTGTCTAGAAATACTACAGGGAGTACGGAAACAGCCCAAATGGAGGAGAACGGACAGCTGAACAACAGTCCTTCAAAAAGTGGAGGACCTTTTGCACCTAGCACAAACCAAACCTACCGAGGAAGAATAAACTCAGTACCGACTGTCACCAGCCAACAGTCACCAAATGGAGAGACTCGGCAGCAAGATTGAAGAAAAATGTCCATCATGAGATCAGAAAAATGATTACGTCTCTTGGTACGGCATATAGGCTTGACAACAAATCATCAACGACGACAGCGCAACGACTCAAACATCTCCGAGTCTGAGAAAAAAACCACAGTCACCTGTGGTCACTCCTAAGAAATTATCACAGCAAGGAGAGGGCAACAACAAGAAGAGACCGCTGTCCACGCCCAGCCCCTCTGCAGAAATTGACAAGCCAGCACAAAAAAAGCCAGCCCGGGATGATACTTGGACTAAAGTGACTTGGCAAAAGAAAAAAAAGGATAGAGAACAGAACCCAGCGGCTCAATCTGCTACAACCCAAAACCAGCCAAGCAATGATGGCTCCAAGAAACCGAAAAGGAAGAGGACGAGAACTAAAGCTGTGCTTATCCAACCAGCTGAAGGGCGGACATACGCCGATCTCCGCAAGGAAATCAAGGATAAGTTTTAAAAGAAAAAATTGCAGAAAGGGATTAGAAACCAGTAGTCACAAGAAGTAGGCGTCGTGAGACGCAACATGGACTGGATTGAAGTAAAGCTAACGCGGTTCCGTTCCAGTCATCTCCGTACCATCCACGGGGGAAGAGAGAGGTGTTTTTTTCTAGTGGGTAAAGATCCCACACTACCGACCATCATCTTTCAATGATAGCGGTGTCTTTCGAAGATTTTTTCCGCTTCTCTATAAAGAATAAAAAAACAAACAACACACACACACACACACACACACACACACACACACACACACACACACACACATACATACATACATACATACATACATACATACTAGAGCTCAAAAAACCGCGTCGATCACCGTAAAAAACGTGGAAATCGGTTGATTAGTTCGAGAGATATCTCCGACACTTTTTTGGAATAAGTTAATTTGGAATAACATAACTCCGACATTTTTTGGAATAACTTTGAAACGGGTGCACTGACCAATTTCAAAAACTAATCAGCTATTAGCATGAAAAAATTACGTCGATCGCCGTCAAGCCGGTCAAAATTGGTCAATTCGTTCAAGAAACATCATGAACGAAAGAAAACCAAAAATGTTATATGTAAACCTCTTGTAACTTTGGAACGACTTGACCGATTTCATCGCGGTTGGTGTCATTCAAAAGGGCTTCACTAAACTTAGATTTCCTGAAAATTTGAACCGATTCGGACCGGTAGAATTCGAGAAAATCCAAAAAAAGTGAAAAAAAAGTGAAAAAAAAAGTTGTTTTTTTTTTATTTTTTTAAAATATCTCCGAATTGGCTGAACCGATCGGTCTCAAAAACTAATCAGCTCTTAACCTTGAAAACCCCCATCGATCGCCACTAAAAACGTTAGAATCGGTTGATGCGTTCGTGAGATATCGTTGTCGAAAAAAATCGAAAAAAGTGTTTTTTTGTAATAACTTCGAAATTCATGGCTCGATCGATTTAAACTTGAAAATTTTTCATGGAGCTTCAAAAACTGCGTCGATTGCCGCCAACCGCATGAAAATCGGTTCTTTCATTCAAAAGTTGTTGCCGTTTGAAAATTCAAAAAATTGTGTCTTTAAACTGCTATTAGAGTTATAAGCTCGAAGAGCTCAAAAACGTAATGTGTAGTTTGAAGCGTTTAAGTACAATATGAGCGGGAAGTTGCAGGGATGGCCTTTAGGGTGAACCGTTTTTCAAATTTTTTTTCTTTGAAACTTTTCCTTAATTTCGTGATTTTATTTGAAATTTAATCAGTGGTCTAGCGCCATCTAGT